TGCTGGTCAAGAAATATTTTTTTTATTATTAGAGGTCGACTGATATGGGTTTTTCTCTGGCCAGTGAAAATCGGGGCAGACGATTTATGATGCCGATTTATGGATTTGCTCAAGTAATCAAAGTCAATAAAAACTTAGTTCACTTAGCAGCATTTATCAAGTTTCTGAAAACAAAAATGTGTAAACAATAGTAATGCTAGATGCAGTAACAACCAGCAGCATTTCTTTGTTTTTAGTCTGAAGAAACGTCTATTTAACACCTGAACTTCACTTGAACCCTTGTTCTAAGTATGCACTTATTTTTTAAGTTCTCAAGTAATCAACAGCAATAGATAATCGCCATTACTGAGGAAAGTTTGTAAACAATACAACAAAGTGCACATTATCTTTAGTTTTAGCTCCAGTTCCAGTACCAGATTTCCACCAAGGCAGTTTGAGTGCTGGTTCTGAGCCAGAGCCTAGTTTCAAATCGATTCTTTGTCTTTCGACAACCAAAGCACCAGATCTGAACCAGGAAACGTGGTTTGTAAGTGGCACCAAAACATTGCTGGTCTAGAAGTAAGAACCGTTTGCGTCAGGGGCTGAGGGCGAGGATGAACAAGATGAACAGGAGCTTTTGACCGCCATTTTTGAAATGGCAGCTAAACACGATGGACGCGATTTAAGCAAAAACAACAGGGGTCTAGGCATCTCATACCGTATGAGATTTTGACGGTATGATAACATTAAGCAAAAATATCACGGTATTGTTGTTACAGCTCTAAAATGTGTTATTTTTATGTCTTTAAACATAAAAACATGTTTTTTTTTTCCACTAAACAATATATTTTATTTCTGAGCAACATAACATACAGAATAATTGAAACAGTAGTATTTTTATTTTTTCTTTGATTTGTTTCTGAAATGTTTGCTGAATTGAGGGCTGTCCTGCAGCTTTTGATGTGGATGGTTGATTTGCTGCTAGCGCTACTGCTGCCCTAAAAAGAAGAAAAATAAAGACTGACATCTTTATTTAACCTAAATGTGTAATTACAGTTATTTAATTTGTTATATAATTCATATAGATATCATTTAGTTATATAATTTCATATATATAATTTGATTTAATAACTAAATTTGATTCAAAAACAATGTTCTGACTAGCTTTGTGAAATTATACTACATGCCTGAACGAAGCAGACGAGCTGAATGAGATGCAGATTCACTCTCTGACAGCAGGTGGCGCTTCTGGAACAGCAGATAAAGCGTTTCCTTGTTTACCGCTGTAAACAAAGCATTGCTGCTCTGAAACACTGCTTTGATGTGAAGTATACAGAGACGAGATGAAAAGAAAATACCATCTAAACTTTTCAGAAAGACAGTCAGTTCCCCTCAGAAACACATTTTTATAATCCCCCAAATTAGGGATGTTCATTTTAACCGGTTAACCGACGGTAAGAATTGACCAATTAATACAATCAGTTGAACGGTTTAAAAAGTCATTTAATTATTCATTTTTTCATTAATTTATAAAAATATTTAAAACGGTTTGCTGCATGGTTAAAATGCGCTACGTGTATAAAAAAATTAGTTTTTTAGGGATAAAAAAAGACGTAAGTCGCATTTTATTATTTCATTCAGAAATAGGCCTAATGCTGACGCAAAATGTTTACAAACATTATAATAAACACTGTAAACATAGCTAGGCTATTTTAGTACCCCTCACTCCGCAACAAATCCTTTCAATTAACAGTATTTGGAAAAGAACAAGAATTAAAAATATAAGAAGCTATAGCAATATAAACGACAAGCCAAAACGAATTCATTTAGGTTAAAACGAAACTGAAACCAATGTTGGGTCTCTCATTCCTCACAAAATCAAATGTTTCTGTATTCGCGATGTAGCCTAGGCTATTTGAATGGCAAATTCATATTTATGTACTTGAAACCGGTAATCGGCCCATGCCTACAGTGGTCCAAGGAGGAAACACGCTGTGTTTGGATGTCGATGTAGGTTCGCAAAGCCATGAACATCATTAGCAACGCAACGTCTGCAATTGTTGATGGTGTGTTTGTGTTTGGCGCTGCTGCTCAAGCGTTGCTGGGAAAGATAATACATTTTCAGTGATGTAAGACCTGGCTTTGTGGTGGCTCTCTAGCCCATGGAAAGGCAAACCAGTTCTTAGAAGGCTCACCAGTCGAAACAACTCTGAACCGGCAATAGCACTAGCTCTGAACTAGCATCCGGTTCATGTTGATGGAAAAGGGGTATGAGTCTCTTCTTCACCCCTCCCATCCATCACTTAAAGTTCTTGGTACTCCCACTTTATGAGCTGCAGGTTGTAGTTCAGGAAACAGTCTCTGCATTTTCTCCTGTGAGCCTGCTCCTCTTCTTGTCATAGATGATCCCAATCTCGCTGAATACTCCCTCACTGGGAATAGAGGAGGGAGGTGGACAGAGGAATTTCTTTGCCAGTGGTCTTTCCGAGATGCTGCTCAGAGATGTAATGCTCATCGCTCTCTTCAGCAGGAGTTCCATGAGCCCCCAAAATGTTTGCATACATTTGTTCAAGAAGACCAGAGGGACCGGGTTCCTCTTCTTCCACCCTTGTCCGCTCCTGTTCTGATCCTTCGTCTCCACTGGTGGCTCTTTTTTGTTGTTTGGACACAATGGCGTGCTCTTCTTGCAGCCAAGTTTTTGCTTTGCTCAGTGTGTCCACTGCAAAGACATGACCCTTGTACCGAGGATCAAGCAGTGTTGCCAGCACCAAACATTTGGTCTCCTCCATCTTTGCAAATCATCTCTCCAAGCTTTGAGTGTTTTGATCCCCCTTGTGGTGGAACCCTTTCCCTGAAGCACCATCTTCAGCACAGCAGTGCTTGGGATGATGCAGGAGATAGAGGCCTCTGCCTTGCTCCTCTCAAAAGTCACTTCTTCAGTAGTGTATCAATCAAATTTGAGATGATATCCCATTGTTCTGCAGTTAATTTGGTGAACATGCCATATTCTGCTGGATAGAGCTTCAGGGTAATCTTCTGCTCCAGCATTCTCTGCAACATATGTAATGTGGAGTTTCAATGGGTGGGAACATCCTGAATAATGCTGTGCTGGGGGAGGCCAAAATCTTTTTAGAATGGCTCTCAGATGCTGTTTTGCAAGCACACAAACACGCTATGTCTTGGTTGATGTCCCAATCATTCAGCATGCTAAGGAACATCTCCCTGATGTAGTCCCCAGTATGGGAGTCAGACATGGCCTTGACATTTAAGACTACCTGTTTCCTTTGCCAGTTACTGACTATAAAATGACATGTTAGGCTCATTAGTGATTCAGTTTCTCCAAACCTACCAACAGTCTGTGGTGAAATATAGGCTGCTAGGGCTGCACAATAAATTGCGATTAACACTAAATCTTGCGTAAATCGGCCTGTCTACTGCGATTGATATAGCAAAGGCTGCGATTGTTTTTATGCGCAGCTTGTCCTTGAAGCACAGCTCTTTGATCAGTAGGAAGTGCTGCTCCATCTGAAATCACTACGAGTTTGAGTCGCTAATAATGTGCTTTTGTAAAGCAACACTCGTCAAACATCATCATTATAAATATACTTTATTATCATGAAAATACCCGAGAAGGTTTTAAGTACAGTGATAGAAAGATGCCCATAGGCATTTCCTGGAACTACGCGTGTTATGGTACTTCTTCTGCAGGGCATATTTGGAGTCTTGCCTTTTAGATGCAGCAGCATTCAACCATACTTCACTGAAAAGCTGCGCATAAAAAATCGCAGCCAACCGCCAAATCGTTTTCGATTTAACGTGCAGGCCTCTGATGCAATTAGTGTCTTAATTCGCGGCTCAACTTTTTTGTACACACTGTCCAGCATGTCTGAGCAGTAGAGTATTTGTTTTGTGTGGATATATTCATATATTCATTAAAAGCGTACATTTTGCCATGGTGGTAAGCCGAGGGTGACGGTTGCTTCATGACAGGTTTGAAAGTTCTGTGCGACTGCCGCTAGGTGGATAAATGCAACAATCATATCCAAATGTCGGAGCTTATCTATACAATGCAGACTACTATAATAGTTTAGCCACTAGGCTCATTACCAGGTTTTGGTACCCGTGCCTACTTGTAGCCTAAACTACAGCTGGTTGAAGGCTCGCTAACAATACAGTTCCTAAAAGTTACTCGCATTCTCTCTACAAATGTTATTCCCATTCTCTCTCCGAAAGTAGCATCATATTTAACCAATTAAATATATAAGGCTAGATTAAGAATGAATAAGTCTTACCATTTTCTTTGGAAGTTACCAGGTAGTTCTCTTCAAAACGTTAGCAGGCAGAGGGGGACATCACGGGGTTATGCCGGTGGAATGGCAATCTGCTTACCGCAAGAGGCAGAGTCAAGTGTTCCACAACAACGCTTAGCTGCTCGCAGATGCATCTGCCTATTAATCGGCCTAATTTGCAGCACAATCGGCCCGATTAATCGGTCGACCTCTATTTATTATCAATTTTGGAAACTGTTGTGCTGCTTAATATTTTTATCTTTACTGTCACTTTGACGCATTTAAAAATGTGACCCCCACCCCCACCCCCACACACACATACATACTCTCACAGACTTTATTTGGGTGTTTGTTGTGAGTGTAATTGTACAAGTATACAGCACAGTGTTGAATGACATGATAAGATGCCCTGTAAGGGTATCAGATGGAGGCTGCGCCCCACACACAGCACTGTACCGTACTGTACTGTACTGTTCGAGCTGTTTGTGATGGTCAGTAGTTGATATGAGGTGCAGACGGACTCTCCTGCACTCACTGTCCAGTTTCCTCACACGGCAGGTCATTCTGATTGATGTGCGTGTGCTGCAGCGTAACATACACAAACAAACTTTGGAGAAAGAAGCAATGTGCAGGTTTTAAACTTCTGCAAAATTAATATGATGTATTTGTAAGCAACACATGTTTTGAATAACACTTTTTCTCTCTCTCTCTCTCTTTACCCCCCAATTGCAGTGCCTCTGGAGCAAGTGTGGTTGCCATTGATAATAAAATAGAGCAAGCAATGGTAAGTTTTTGATTTTGAATATAAAAATCTTAAAATATATATATATATATATATATATATATATATATATATATATATATATATGCAACATAAATGCAATATGTGCAACATGTATATAAGCTGTATATATTCAACAACAACAGCTAAAAAAACAACAATTGGTAGTAACTAGTAATATATGTATGTATATATATATATATATATATATGTATGTATATATAGTATATATTAGTTTTTAACACAGCCCTGCAAAATTCTGCTGATTTGCAAAAAACAAACATAATCTGATTTGACTATGCATTCAAAATCATTATTACTTCAAAAATATCACTAAAAACTTTCCATGTTTTTTTTTTTTCACAAAATATACACACTGTGTGTGTGTGTGTGTGTGTGTGTATATATATATGTATATATAGTAAATATTAGTTTTTAACACAGCCCTGCAAAATTCTGCTGATTTGCAAAAAACAAACATATTCTGATTTGACTATGCATTCAAAATCATTATTACTTCAAAAATATCACTAAAAACTTTCCATGTTTTTTTTTTTTCACAAAATAAGATTTTTTTTCACAAAATAAGAATGAAGATTTTTCAAATTACATGTCAGCTTCAATGCACTCTTCAAAATAACATGCTGTCAAGTTTAAAAAGTTTGAATGACAAAAAGGATATGTAAATGTGTAATTTACTTTACAATCTGCAAAAAAGTAGAAAAATGTTCAAATACAAATAATTGAATGTCAAAGAACTTTACATAAACACAAGACGTTATCTTTTTAATCTGTAGTTTTCTGTAGTAAAACACAAATGAATCAGAAAATATTTGACTCCTGTTTGCATTTTCTTCTAACCTTAAAAATCAGGATTAGGCATAAAATATTGTCTTCAGAATCATTCATACATTGAAAATTGGCTGAGAATTGAACAAATAGTTGTAATCTGGCAGAGGACTCTCAGAGGGAGATCTCATCTCTCATCTTTATTGCAGTTTTTCTGCTGATTAAGGGATAATACATGACCGCTTGACATTTGTCGCCCTACAAAACGTTACAAGATTAAGACGTTACACCCTACAAATGATTGTTGAAAGCAAAATGCTACGAAATACGTATTTTGTGTGAGTGTGAGACAAGCTAGAGGAAAACAGGCAGTTTTTTTTGGAATCCGCACCCTGAAATTATTAAGTAGTATTGGATTTCATTCAGCAAATATGATGCAGGGCAGTGCAATAGATGTTGAATTGGTGCCATTTTGTACTGTTTTCTGAAATGATGTCATGTTTTGGCACCGTCACACAGGATTTAGTGAAAAGCCATCTGATGTATGCTGTGCGGGAGGAGGTGGAGGTGTTGAAGGAGCAAATCAAGGAGCTCTACGAGAGAAACTCTGTGCTGGAGCGAGAGAACGCAGTGCTCAAATCTCTGGCCAACAGTGAGCAGCTCTCTCAGCTCACCGTCCAATCCAACTCCAACCCGGACCAAGCTCAGCCCCAACCTCAGCCTTACCTTCAGCTGGACGTCAACGAGACCATGGACTCCTTGCCACGAGAACCACAGCCCAGCGTCACCTCCGCCTGAAGCCTGTGCGAACGACGCATGTATCATCACAACAGCAGAAAACCCATCTCACTCGCATGCTGTCCGCCATCGCGACGGATGACCGAAACGAGAGGCGGTTTCTGCTCGGCCGCAACATGCTGGCATTCCTGCGGACTCGATTGGGGTCCCGTTTGGCCCCTTCCCCCCGGACGAGGTGGAGAGTTTGTGAAGAGAGTTATTTTTTTAATAAAGAGAATCCAGCCATGAAAAGAGTGTATTTTTTAGCATTGCAGTTTTCATGTGAGAAGCCAAGAGTCTATTTTCAGAGCCACCGCACTTCATGTGATTTCGATTCACCAGTCAGTTCAATTGTACTGTTTGTTATTTATTATAGGGCTGCTATTTTCAGAGAGGAACAATGTCTACAGAACCTTTCAATCCGACAGCAACTGGTCATCAAATCGAGCAGCAGTCTTGCTATATCAATCATCAATGCAAGCGTAGCAGTGGGTGGCGTGTAAACACTAACAGCGACGTTCCTCTGTGGATTAAGAATGTGAACCTGGTGTGAATGTACATTTTGTATAGTGTAAAGATAAAGAGCGTAACAAGTTTGTACAGGTTTGTGGGCGAAGATCTAAACGGAATCCTCAATGATGAAGAAAGCTTCAGTTCGGTTGCTAGTAGTATGTTGGAAAAAGAAGTCAGTTGCCATATCGTCCTGCCCGCTCCCCTGACGTCTCGTATGTTTCTGGGGTCGGGAAGGGGATTTAAAAGAAAGAAAAAAACTGTGAAGTTGTTCAACCTACTTTGTAACCAAAGATGCAAAGATGTGTAATTCATTCATTTTTTTTTTTTCTTCGTTATGCACACTCCATGTACATTTTTTTTTTTTTTTTAAATTGTTCCTCACAACAAACTTTTTGTTGCTTTTAGGCATGTTCTGCATGATCTGCAAAAGTCAAACCACTTTCTTACCTCATTTGTATTGGGCACTCGTATTGTAAGTAGTCTGTGAATCGTGTCAGCGGGGGAAGGAGATATGGAGGTGATGGTGAGGAGATAAAACAGACTAGTGTGTGACGCACTAGCCACAGAAAATGAAGTGAGCCATGTTTCATTCATTTAAATGGTGTTTGAATTTCATATGCCAATAGTTTTGTTACATTGCAAATTTTAATGTATTTAAATAAATGCAATATTCAAATTACAAAACTGCTTGGGAGTATTTGTGTGAAATTGTCTGCGATACTCTTGTTTCTGCACCATGATAATTATTTTCGCACAATTTTGGCGTAGGCAGTGACTTCCCCAGGAAGCAAGACAGATCTACCTTGATGTGCGGCTGCCGACACGTACGGTTCATAAACATACCTTGATATTTTAAGACTACAACAGATACAATTTCAGGCACAAAAAAAGACCCCGATTAATTGAGAAGAGTGAACTTGTATTTAATCCTTTAATTCAAGTTTTTAGCCATCATACCAGATTTGAGGTATATAACCCACTATAAAAGACAAAAGAATAAAAATAACTTTCTGCAACTTACCCGTCTGTTACATAGCAGAAACATGCTAAAGTACTTTAACTAAATAGAGATGAACCACTATTAAAAATAAGCATTTCAAACTAATCATTTAAAAAAAAAAATTAAAAGGGATAGTTCAACCGAAAATTAAAATTCTGTCATTAGTTACTCACCCTCGTGTTGTTCCAAACCCGTAAGACCTTCGTTCATCTTCAGAACACAATGTAAGATATTTTTGATGAAATCTGAGGACTCTCTGACCCTCCCATAGACAGCAAGGTAACTACCAAGTTCAAGGTCCAGAAAAGTACCAAGATGATCGACAAAGTAGTCCGTGTGACATCAGTGGTTTAACTGTAAAATTACCAAGCTACGAGAATACTTTTTTGCGCAACGTCACTTTGGATGAGCGTTCACGACAGTATCATGACACGAGCGTGTGGTGCGCTGACCCAGATCCGGTGTAATGACGTTATCACGCTGGATCTGGGTCAGCGTCGGCGCTGCCACTCTCTCGTCATGATACTGTCGTGAGCGCACGTCCAAAGTGACGCAGTAGAGACGAAAATGTGGAATAAAGTCATTATTTCTGTTTTCTTTACGTGGTAGTTACCTTGCTGTCTATGGGAGGGTCAGAGAGCCCTCAGATTCCATCAAAAATATCTTCATTTGTGTTCTGAAGATGAACGAAGGTCTTACGGGTTTGGAACAACACGAGTGATCGACAAAGTAGTCCGTGTGACATCAGTGGTTCAACTGTAAAATTACCAAGCTACGAGAATACTTTTTTGCTCAACGTCACTTTGGATGAGCGTTCACGACAGTATCATGACACGAGCGTGTGGTGCGCTGACCCAGATCCGGTGTAATGACGTTATCACGCTGGATCTGGGTCAGCGTCGGCGCTGCCACTCTCTCGTCATGATACTGTCGTGAGCGCACGTCCAAAGTGACGCAGTAGAGACGAAAATGTGGAATAAAGTCATTATTTCTGTTTTCTTTACGTGGTAGTTACCTTGCTGTCTATGGGAGGGTCAGAGAGCCCTCAGATTCCATCAAAAATATCTTCATTTGTGTTCTGAAGATGAACGAAGGTCTTACGGGTTTGGAACAACACGAGGGTGAGTAATTAAAGACAGAATTTTCATTTCTGGGTGAACTAACCCTTTAAGACCGGCTCTTACAAAGAATCCATTTAACAATATTTAGTGATTTTATATTTGGAATTCTATACATATTTTTCCTATACACACCCCATTTAGTGTCAAAAACTAAATTTAGATGCAAACGAGTAATATTTCACCTCTATTACACTATTTAGTTGTATTTTCCCCACTAAATAGACTTTTCAACTAAATGGAGATGAACCACTATTATAGATGAACTATTACTACAAATAGTTTTAAATGTTGCAATGAATTTATGCATTTAAGTACAAAAAACAAAATTGTTTTAAGATTGGCTGTTAAAAAGAACGCATTTAAAAGTGTCATATATATATATAATTTGTTATAAATATTGGCCGCTAAAAGATGCATCAAAAATTAGACATTTGTTGCACAATACGTTGTTTTTTAATTGAAATATTATAAAACTTTTTTTTTTGCTCTACAAAAAGAATGTTCCGTTTCATACAACCGTTTCATGAAAAACACAGTCTATCCAGAAATGTTTCAACTCATTTAGCTGCAACTGCTTTAGGCATATATAAAAAACAGGACGCCATCACATATCAAGGGCGGCTCAGGAGACGACACAACGTAACTGAAATTCAGGGACAACAGGTAATGCTTGCTTTGTGAGGACAGAATGGCAGCTTTTTAGAAAAAGAACCTAAAAAACAGAAAATCAGTCACTTCCCTAACGTCTCCTCTTCCAGAAAACCAGCATATCCACGTTCTGAGGAAGTCTCCTCCATTAGGGCTAATCGATTCGAGTTGGGAACAGTGTTAGTTCAGCTCAGGTCCCTGTTTGCCTGTTCTGTCTTGTAGGACTGTTGTTGAGCGTGTGATCAGGGACAGAGGGACACGTGACCAGTGTCTCAGAGTTCAGCTCTAGGCCACAGTGACGAATCGGCCTCCTTTGCTGCTCTGCTGTTCTGCCGCCACACGCTGGTCCTTCAGGATGCGGAACCGCTCGTTGAGGGTCATGCCAGTCTGAAGCAGAAAAGAACAACAATGAAGATGGCTATCGGGTTTATCACAACTGATGTAAAAGCGTTTCTAGTGGCTGATCTGGAAGATTGCTTTTTCTTCAAGCAGGAAAGCAAAACACAGGTTAAAGTTCAATACTTGGTGAAATAGTTCATATTTTAAGCATTTTGAGTTGATGTAAATGTAGTCAATGATTCGAACTAGAGAACCGGATCAGTCTTATTTAACAATGAATCAGTCAGGTCTGTTTTGTAGATTCAAACTAATTGATAAAAGTGATTTGAGATCAACCGTCAATCAAATCGGACATCGTTGCATGAAAACGTAAGGTATTTTATTTAGTGATGCACTGGTATTTCGGCAACCAAAAATTCAGTATAAAAAGAATTTTCGGTTTTAGCCAATATAAAAATAATAATAATAAAGTACTATATATATATATAAATATGATTGTTTTTAATGACACTGTGGCATTCAATTAGCATTTCTCCAATGGCTCGCTTTGTTTCAGCATTTATTTTGTGCTTAATTTCATAATTAAATTGAAAACAGTTGTGCTGCTTCATATTTTTGTGGAAAGCATGATACACTTTTTCAGGATTCTTTGATGAATAGAAAGCTCAAAAGAACAACTTTTATTTGAAACAGAAAACTTTTGTAACATTATAAATGTCTTTACTGTCACATTTGATCAATTTAATGCATCCTTGCTGAATAAAAGTGTTAATTAAACTTTTTTTTCTTTTCTTTTACTCTAACGCCAATAATAGTGTATCATGGTTTTCACACAAATATTAGCACAGCTGTTTTCAACATTGATAATTATCATAAATGTTTGGATCACGTGACACTGAAGACTGGAGTAATGATGCTGAAAATTCAGCTTTGCATCACAGGAATAAATTACATTTTAAAATATATTCCAAATAGAAAAATAGTGATTTTAAATAGTAACAATATTTCACAATATTACTGTTTGTAATGCAGTCTTGTTAAGACACTTCTATCAAAAACATAAAAAATTGTGATTAGAGAGTTGATTATTAAATAATTTGACTAATAGACTATTAAATAAACTTAGGTTTTGGTTATGGTTTTTGGCTAAATTAAATCTTAAATTTTGGTTCCTGTGTTCTGGTAAAAAAAAAATGCATTACTAAATTATGCAAAAAAAAATAAAGCATTACTGCAGGTTAATTTCAGATATCAATATTTTACAGTGTACTTGTTACACATTACATGTACTTCCTATAGTAATAAATTATGCAACTAATCATAAACAAACCCTTATCCTAACCATATAGTAAGTAGATGTAGTTAATATTACTCGGAACTTAAACGTGTAATTACACTGTAATAAGGACACCATAACATAGTAAATCCTAATTTAATATAAACACTATATTTCATTGACTCAAGGATAAATAGAATTGTGATTAGTCCTACCTGTTTGCCAACACTGTTGATATCAAACTGCAGGGCGACACCTTTAGGAGGCTTCCTCTCCGGCTCCTCTTGAGCAGGTGAGGAGCGTGCTGGAGTCTCGGGGTGCAGAGACCAGGACTGAGCAGGCCTGTACGGGGCAAAAGAAAAGCTCATTAGGTCTGTGTTCCCAAACTCACATTCACAACATGCTAGAAAGAGTCTCAAAGGTCAAACTAAAATGACAAGCAAACAAATGAATGTGAAATATGCTTTCAAAATATGTGGAGCTTGTTAGAGAGAACATGCATCTTATCTGAACATCTTTAAAAGAATCATTTAAAACACAAAAACAAACCAACAATTACAAATTAAAATATCTGAATGGCAACCATTGTATGTATTATGAAATGATGCATCTGGATTTAATCAAGCGTAATCATACTCAGGCTGTGTTCTAGCTGTGGGGTTGTCTATTGATACAGTGAGGATGCCACTGTTGTTTGTAGGAGTGCGCCACCTGGTGGAAAAGAGGAGAGAAATCCGTAAGAGTCGGAACAGTAACAAACTTACAGTACATCTAGACTACTGCTCAAAGGTATGGCATACAGAAGACTTACTTTCATTCAGCAAGAATGCATTATTTCATTTATTTTTTTAAAATCTTTATGATCCCAAACTTTTGAATGGTAGCGTAGTAATTTAACTCAATTATCATTCAAAAAGAAAAGAGAAAAAAAGAATTTTCAAGAATGGTGTTTACTTACGAGCGAGTTCTCTGTGTGGGCTGAGCAAAGCTTGTCTTCTGAACTTGTGCATGAACCTATTTGGAAAAAAAACAAAAACTTGGAAGTTATTGAAAACCATTCTTGCTTTATTCTTAACTACCGCGCTTAACTATTTGCGCTTCGGGTGTCCCGAGTTCAAGTCCCAGCTAGTGGACCTTTCCCAAAACCCACCCCTTAAAAAAAAAAAAATTATGCCCCTTACATAAAATTTTAATTTACTGTCGAGTTTCATAATTAAAATACTTTTTAGAAACTGAGGAAAAGACACAGGATGACTTACGGTGTCTGGTGAGCTATGTAATGCAATCTGTATGCCTCATC